ATTTTAGTCGCTCAAATAATAGTTTATTATTAACTTTATTAGGATAGTTTTCACAGAATTCTATTTAAAGTAAAAGTTATTTATTTATTTAATTTATTAGTTTATTTGACGTAAATAGAACCTGGACCAAGTTACCCAAACACAAATGGTGCCCCAGAATAGACCATAACAATGTAATAACAACATTAAGGATAAACAAAGCCAAACAAACCCAGAATAGCAAAAGTGCTTTTGCTATATCAAAAGGTGCTCATTCTATATTAAAAGGTGCCTATCCTATAGTAAAAAGTATCTATCCTATAAGGAAAAGTGCTCTTGCCATAGTAAAAGGTGCCCAATCTCTAATTTTAATCATTCTAAGGTGTCTATCCACAATCTGAAAATGTCTATCCACTATCTAAAGGTGCCTATTCTATAGTAAAAAGTGCTATTCCATTAATAAAAGATGCTCTTCCTTAATTAATTACTATGTTCTATAGTAAATTAATATATTAGAAAAAGATATAAAAACTCTGCCTTTTTCTCTAAGACAAGAGGACAGTTGGTCCCTATATTTTAGTCATTAAAACTAGTGTTGGCAAATAGAACAATAGAACAAAAGCTCAATTTTTTGTTTTTATATAAAAAAATTTTTTTATTAATAATTTGCAATTATTTAAACATATATTGTTAGAACATTAATAAAGTAATAAATTTAAAATAATTTTATATTTAATTAGTAAAATTTAATATTCAATATTTACAATAGAAAATAAAAAAATGAATAGAATTAGAAGACAATAGAAAAATTATATAAATGTGACAACTCTGATTATAACACAGATTAAAATCCAATATATCGGGTCTCTATCAGGTACCATATTACTATAATTAGAAAATATATAAAATGCTACATATCGGTGATCTACCATATATATATCGTATAGTTTGGCTAATCATATATACATTGGGTACTCGATATGTATATGTAATAAAAATAACTTTTAAATCTACATATATTATAATTCTAAATCATTGTTTACAATGCAGATATTCTATATATTAAAAAAACTTTATTCTTTAAGATATAGAAAATAATTTTTACTACTTAAATTTTTTTAATTCGATATATATCGGGTACCCGATAAATACAATATTAACATACTATCTCTTCTGACGTTTTATATTAAAACTAGCCAGTGTATTTTTTTAGTAGCTACGTTTCATGAAAATTTTACAATACAATAAATCCTATTAAGAAAATATTCATTCAGCAATAGACAAGACCCAAACTGCTGTATAATTCAGGTAAATTTCGGCGCAGAAATCGATTTGCATAAAAAATTTTTGGGAGACTTGTATGTACATCACAAGATTATCGAAATTATTAAATACGTAAATATTTTTTGGATTCTTTCTACTACAAAGGCCCGTATTATATGTTGTTTTTAATTGGGTTTATAGTATTGATGATTTTTGCGGTTATGCTAGGAGGATTAAGTTTCTTTTTTAAGTAAAATCAAACAAGTATGACAAAATAAGTTTCATTATCGTTTATTATAGTCGAGTATATATGCTTTCAATTAGGCAGTACTCATATTACGATAGATTATGCAAAAAATATTAGAGTAAAAGTATAAACTGTTACTAATTCGTAAGAACTCATTATATTTGTGCAATTACTCAACTTTTCCTTGTCATATGATATGCGTGAAGAATTTCTATTAATTATATTAAAAAAATATAAGTTTATGTGACCTTATTTAAGAATTCCCATGAGAAAACCATGGGTTATAAGCCAATATAGATTATAAAATCTTTATTTATATAGCTAAAAGTTGAACCTTCTATTTAACGTCACAATAGATATATAATTTTTAGAATTTCCTACACGGTATTTAATTTTTATAGCTCTACAAAGTATTCTATGTACGGGTAATATCGAATCATAACCTTCTTTATAGTGTTCAGTTTTCCATATTTCAGTATTTGATACTTCAGAATTCATGAAGCTGTGTTTAAACCGAATTGCAGAGGAAGACACACACTTGTACCATCTGATATATGCTAGAAGATGCGTTCTTGGTTCTTGGGAAAGCCTAAGAGTATGCTCCAAGTAATATTGTACTTTAGCTGGGTATATATCACTTGTTTCATCCCCTTTTCTTTCCATTTTGCAAGTATAATTGAGTTATTTTTATGGCCCAATATCATAGACCCAAATATTTCATCTCCAATTTGAAGTTTTGTATGTTGATTTATTACAGGGTCCATGAATTCTTCTATATTTTTATATTTACTTCCGTATAATATTTCATACCATTCATGCAAAGATTTTTTAATTCTAGAGATATAATGACTCCGATATATGAGGGAAAAAGCATATGACCAGGTATAGGCTCAGTATCATATATCTTAAGAGCCACAGATGTCTGATATCTTAAAGATAAAAAATATTTCAGCTCTTCATTATCCATTGTGCTAGTTAATGCTAAACTACCTACAGCTTTTTTTGGCTTAATTAAATGAAAAGTATTATTCAAAAGACTAGATGTCCAATTTCGTGTTAGATGATAGTCTACTAATGCATTTTTGAGAGCAATCTTCATCAGTTCGGGCTCAATTTGTCTGTTGCTATTAGGATATGATCCTAAAAATCAAAAAAATTAAAAAATTTTTAAAAATGCTTTATATTTTAAATATCTGATAGTCGTCTTACCTATATATCTGTTAAGCCTCTCAAATAAAAAAAGCTAAAAATTATTTATAGGACCATAATCTTGACAGCAATCAGAAATATGAAGAGCGAGATGGATATTGCTTGTAATAAATTCAGGACCATAAGTACTTTCTATAATACAAGCCATATCTTTTAACCTCTCATATGCTTCCTTAAGTTCGTTTTCATTAATAATTCTTGATACTAAAAGATTACAAGCCCTAACGAAATGCCCTAAAATTTTTCTGTCACTAACAGTTAACATATCCCACAAGATAGTAGCATAAATCATAATGAAGGTCTTTCATTGGTCAGCAGTTAGTTTAGAAAAGCCATCTTCACCAATTGCTATCTTAGGAGAAATTCAACCAATATCAGGAGATAAAACAACATTATCCGTCAGATTACTATGATCGGGCTGCCAAATAATTTGGGTTATTTGGCAGAAAAAAAGTTTATTTTGGTTA